TAGGGTTCCCTTCTCTAGGTGCCCGGTAAGTAATGCCCTTGGGGGCCACCTTCCACAAGTTCCTTGGGTTCTGCTTCTGCTTGGCTGTTTACTGCTCAGTTTTTGGCCGCTCTTTGTGTGCTCGGGTGTTCTGATGCCTTTGTTCACCTTAGAATAGGAGGCAGTTTGCACTGGTAAGGGACACAGGGTACTGCGCAGCTTGTTTTCACCAATCATAGCGGCCGGCTCTGTTCCGCCTGGGTAGGCTGTCCTCCCGCGGGGTTTTCTTTATCTTTTTGTTTGCATGCCTGGTATGGGGGGGTCCGCCTTGGTTATTGCCCCCTGTGTACTGAGTACTCATCTCTTCCGGTGGTACCCTCTGCTTGGTCCCCGTGAGTTTACACGTCTCGGGGGTTCAATTCTTAGAAAGTTGTTTGGTTGACTTGGGCGCCGGTTAGCAGTACCTTGCCTGGGCTTCCTTGAGCGTGAGTTCCGTCTCAAGACCCTGGGAATCCCCAAGGGGGTGCATGGGTCTGATGGATGTGACCCCTGAGTCTCCCCCATCGCTTTGTGCGAGTTTGAGCGTTGCTCTGTCCCCTTGTCTCTCAGGGTGACTCTCACTGTTTTGGCCTCCGTCTGCTGCTTGTTGAGTCAGTGGCACCTTCAACCTGGAGTTATGCAAGTTTTGTTGCTTGTTTGTGACTCAGTTACCCAGTCCTGTGCTGACTATGCGGGTGCAGGCAACACAAGTGTTGCTTTTTGGGTTCAGGTGGTTGCAACACGTTACGTTGTTTCCTCCCTGGAAGCCCCAAGGCTGCCCCATTTTAGTTGTGACCCGGGCTTGGGGATGTTGGTCGCTTCGGTTTTGTTTCTGTCCACGCCCCCTTGTCTTTCCCGTTTTAGTTTCGTCTGGTCCCCCCCCCCCCCATTCCTCCCTGCTTTTGGATCCGCACTGTCTGTGGGTTTTGGGGTTGGGATGGGGTTTCGTTGGTCTTTAGATTCAGATGGTCTTGGGGATTGCCCCTTCCGGGGGTAGCGACAGAGGCATTCGAGCCTGTTCCTCGAGCCGTGACTTATGGGTCTGCTAGTGGACTCCCTTCCTTTGTGTTTCTCCGGCTGCCCCGGCTTTTTCTTGTGAGGCTGGGGCTTTGGGGGGATGGCTCGGCCCTGGGTCCTGCCGTGGGGGTTCCCGGGGCTGAGGAGGAGTTGACTTGGGGCCTTAGACCCCGTTGGACCCTGCCGGGGGGTTTCTACTCTCTGAGCGGGGCTTGCAGTTACGGGGAGTGGGGTTTTCCTTTTCCCCCCTCTGCGTACGTGTTTGTTGGGCGTCGGCTTCTCCCCGGGTTCGATTCTTTGTCCCTTCGGGTCCGTCGGTTCCGTGTTGCCGATGGGTGTTCTCCTCCATTTTCTCACCCTTCTTCTCTGGGATATGGATTCGCTGTCATGTCGAGGTCATGTTCCCATTGTTGCGGGGTTTTGCATGACCGTTGGCCTCAGGTGTGACTGTGCCTTTGAGCCTTCGTGATTTTATGCTTGCTTCTGTTGGATCTCGAAGGTTCAGAAAGGTCTGTTACACATGTGCCGTGGGAGTTTGTTTTCTTTATGGACGGTGTACACAAGTGTTGGTGTTCCGCATTCTTTTTCTCTCGGGTGATTCGCCGCTCTCGCTCCTCCTATCTCTCCAGTCCATGCCCAGTAGATACTGGGGGGGTGTTCTAGATTACAAATATGGGGAGAACGCCTGTTTTTTTTTATCTGCATATGGGTGTGTGGCACCCCATCCCCCTCTACCCTATTCTCCTCCTGCACATGCGGCTCTGACCTTATTCCACTAGCGATTCTCCCGGCATATTCTCAGCTACGATGTGTCGTGACACGATAATGTCTACACTCTAAAGGTGAGCTTATGCGGTCTGGCGTCTCTTTCAGCCAGGCGCTTGTTCGTGGGTTTTGGATGAGTGTTGGGGATTGGTTGTGACATTTTGTTTGGCCCCCTTACATGCTTCTCCCTGGGACCTTCCTTGTCCGTCTGTGTTGTTCGTTACACGGTGTGGCACGGCCTCGTTTTTCGAGATCTTTATCTAGTCTTTCCGTGCCTGGGTCTTTTTTTGCCTCATGACACATTCCTTGACCGTCATGCAGTGCCTGGTTGAGCCCTTCCATATCCATTGGATTCTCTATGTAGTAGGTCATGTCCATTTCATTCTCGCTTGCTGTCTGTCTTCTTTGTTTCTCATTTTGCTTCTACAAGCTTGTCCCTGGCTGCTGGTGTTTGGACTTTGTCTGGTCATTTTCTTGCATTTTTCCGTTTTTTCCTTATTATCTTCTACACTTTATTGTGTTTTTTAGTGTGTGCTGCTTGGTTTTACTGATGTTCATGCTAGGTTGGACTTTGTCCATGTTCAGTTCCCTGCTTTTGCACCGCCCCTGTGTTCGGTTATGGTTCTGCGTTTTCATCTTCTTGCTTGGCACTTCCAGTTTCTGGGTTGCCCTTTATGCAGGTGGATGTAGCTTCCATTCCTCCTTTCCTGTTACTACAGTTTCTTTTTGTTGGGCCGGGAGGTGCTAGGTTTCAGGCCCTGGCTCTGGACTCTTTTTTTTGTGTGTTCGCTTTCAGGCGGTGCATTTTTGTTTTCGTGCTGTTCACGTCCAAGTTAGTTCTCCTCGGGCCTTACTCGGCATCACGTGCTTTGCTCTGCCCTGCTGGGACTGCGTTCGCCATTAATGTGGGATGCGATGTCCCTGTTTTCGCTTTGCGTTTTGGTTCGCAGTGCTCGCTTCCTCATTGGCCTCAGCCTGGGCCCTGGCTCTTCGTTTTTATCACAATTTTGTCCATGCTGTTTGCGGTGTCTGCTGTTCCGCGTTTCTCTGCTGGAGGCTTCTTGTTGTCATCCATTGTCGGACTTGTTGGTCTTTCAGGGTCCTGGGGGTTTCTCCCGGACGGGGCGTGTCTGCTCGCCTGGGTTGCTTCTTTCCCAGCTTTCCGGTTTTGGGTTCCTGGTTTCCTGGCTTACCTTGCCAGTTGGCGCATTCCTGTTCTCATGGTGTCACTTCTCACGAGTCTCGCGTTGGAACCAGTGTCTCTGATCATCTGACGAGCTCGCTAGCATTAGGAAGTTTTCTGTACATCAAACGTTCCATCTGGTTCCATCTGGTTCCTTGATGGCTTGGGTTTCCAGCTCTGCTTGCTCGGTGTTTGCACCTGCGGTTTTTCCATGGCTCTGCCTCATCCCTTGCTCAATTGGTCCATATCGGGGCTGGTTCGGTTCTGCCTCGAGTCTCTCATCATCTGTTGGCGTTCAGGTGGTTTCGTTGATGGTGTCTCACCTGTGTGCTTCGTCTCAACAGCAGTGTGGAGTTTTTTGGTGGTCCTCCCTTTTTCTTTTGTCCTTTCATGAGCAGATGATGAGTCACAATAACGTGGCTGAAATATGTTGACCAGACCACACACTAGAAAGTGAAGGGACGACAACATTTTGGTCCATCCTGGACGATTCTCAAGTTGATTGAGAATCGACTTGAGAATGGTCCAGGACAGACCGAAACATCGTCGTCCCTTCACTTTCTAGTGTGTGGTCTGGTCAACATACTCTTTTCATAAGATTGCTGCGCTTTGTTGGCGTGGTCTTATTCTTCTCTAGTGGAGGTTCAGAGCCGTCATCTTTCCACATACTGTCACCTTGTGTCATGCGGCGCTGGCGGAGCCGCTCCGGGTTGCTTCGGTTTTGGTGTTCCCTCAGCACCAATTCACGAGCTGTCTCTGGCGTGGTTCACGTCTCACCTGCTTTTGCGCTTGTTGAGTTGTCCTAGTTCTTGGATTGGTGGTTCTCTTCTCTTCTCCTCGATTTGTTGTGGCCTCTTCGGTTCTGGATTGTTTTCCGAGGCGCTCTTCTTGTTGGTGTTGGCCTCTGAGGGTCAGGTCGGGGTGCTTCATGCTCTCCTCTGGCACCAGGGTTTCTGCTCTTTTGGTCCTCGTGACAGGTTGTTTGCTTGCATCCATCTCCTTCTCTGGTGAAGACTGACACAGCTGCTTTCCGGAGGGGTCCTTGAGTTGTTGATGCATGGTTGGTCGGGCCACAGGTACATCTTGTGTTGTGTTCAGTTGCGGCGCTTCGCTGTTCTTTGTGTGCTACAGCTGCCGTGACCGGGATCACGCTTTGGGTTGCTCCGGTTTCCCTTCTTCCCTGTTCTAGGGTGCATTTCTCTTAGGTCGTCCTTGGGGTGGTTTGGTCCAGCCAGCCTGTGTCTATCCCCGTGCCCACAACATTTGTGGGTTGGCTACGCATTTCAATCGTTGATGTTCCTGGGCCTTGTTGGGCCTGTATGGCCTTGGATTGGCGATTGCGGCTTTTGTCTCCGTTTTCTGTTAGGGAGTGAGGGACGTCCGCCTCCCGGGTAGGTCCCTCTTGCTTTCCTCTTTTGGTAGGTAGCTCCAGGGAGCCAACGGGGTTCCCTCCAGAAAACCAGCATTGAATGTAATGAAACACCATTTTCTGGGTGAGACATGGAGGCTCCCCGGCAACCCCCTCTCTCTCCGGTCGGCGGATTTTCGCGTGTTTCGATATCCAGCTTCAGAACTGGGGTCTTGGGTAGCCAGCACGTGGTGTCTAGGGCTCCCCCTTCCCCCTCCAGGGGAGGGGAGAGCTGCGCAGATGACGGCACGGCGACATGGTGATGTCATGCTTGTTAGCTCGTTTTTGTTTGGGGAGTTATGTCCACTAGTTCGGCTCTCAGTAGCAATTTCTTAACCAGAATAATGGCATGTTTTGTGATGTTTGCCTTTCTGGGTGCCTACCCAGTCGATGGCAGACATAGAATGCTTCCAACTACATGGGGGTTTCTATAGGCCAGGGGCCAGGTTTTGGCTCGTGGTCCCCGGTAAGCCTAAGAACTCCATACACATGACTGATGCCAAAGTCTGACCTAAGCAATATCAGCCTGGATGGCTCCAGGGAGCCTCCGGGTCTCACCCAGATAATTGCGTTTCATTACATTCAACGCTGTTTTTTTTTCAATCATAGGATGGAGACTCAACGCTTCACACTGGTACCATGGAATCAGCCGCTTTAGCAATTGCAAATCAGAATGAAATTGGAAAGATCCGACAGGAGCTATTTCCCAAACGTTTACCAACACCCAAGCACAAAATCACAAAGAGGTAAGCAAAATTAATTTTTGCTATGTAAAATTAATATTTTTGGACTGAATTTAATAAAGTATTAAAGAAGTAATGCAAAATAGGCTTTGGTTTGTATAGTGGAACCTTGGTGTACGAATGCCCTGGAGTACGAGTTTTTTGGAATACAAAGTCAATTTCCATGTAAAATTTGACTTGATGTACGAAGTTTGCCTTGGAATACGAGTACAGTATCCACTCAATTTAATGGCCTCTTTTATACCGATCTGCCGGTAATAACGACCGGTTTGGGAGACTGGTAACTGGAGCCTCATATACCGGTCTGGCGGTCGATATAACCGTAGGTCGGTATTGGGTTCGTTTTGGTATTGGCGGGCCCTCACATGGCAACAGGCCACCAACCTCCAAGGCATTGAGGGAGGGATGGGAGGCATTGATTGATGGAGGGAGGCTTTGAGGGAAAAAGGCAGGGAGTGATGGTGGTGAGGGAGGCAGTGAGTTTATTAGTTTAGTTCATTTATTATGCACCGCATATCCATCTTGTGGGCTGTAGTGGAAAGGGTTACAGAGGCACATAATGGGCTCAGGAATTGAACCCCACAATTTATTTAGGTAAGCAAGTTACAATCATGATGAGCTAGTTACTTTTTTTTTGGAGGCAGTGATTGATGGAGAGAGGCATTGAGGAGGAGAGGCAGGGAGTGTGTTGGTGGTGGTGGTGAGGGAGTCAGTGATTGAAGGAGGGAGGCATTGAGGGGGAAGAGGCAGGGAGAGTGTTGGTGGTGGTGGTGGTGTGGGAGGGAGAGTGTTGGTGGTGGTGTGGGAGGGAGATTGTGATACCAAAATTAACGCTGTAAGACAAGTGTGGAGTTGACAACCCTGAAGAGAGTAGAAACATTTCGTTGCTGTCTGGCGCTCACAGCTATTGATCGACGTAGTTCTTTATTTGGTGCTGGTCTAACTCATGTTTTGGTGACATTTTATACCTATGTTCTTCTAGAACATTCTATTGTGAACTCATTGGTACAAAAATGAAATACGTACATCGAAAATTAACGTCAGGACAGTGAAAAGAGTATACACTTTTCAATGTTGCCTCTCGATCGCCCGAAGCGCCGCACACACAAGGGGCAATTTTTTTCACTGCGCCAAGAGCGCGAAAGTGTTAAGTGTGGGAAATTATAGCAAACAAAGGGATAACTGAACTCTTATGCTTTGTTAGGCTTGCGGCCCAACTAAAAACTCAGACTCGTGGAGACCACGTGACAAGGATAAGAGAAACATGAAAACATGGAAATAATAAAATGCAAATTACTAACTAAATATTTATTAAATGCAAAATCTAAACAAAAACTAAATGAAATCACTCCCTATACATAACACTCCCTACGAGGCATGAGATGAACTATTTCCCTATACAAAACTGTAGCAAACTATACCTTTTAATGCGACCAGCTAGATGCAGTGCTGATATTGGGGAGAGGTTGAGATGGATGACCTCCCCCAATTGTTGACCGGTCCACACTGAATCTCCCTCACTCTGCCTTTCTCACAGCTGGTCAGAGTTAGAGGTATTCCTACGCCAGGCTCACTAAGTTTACTAGCAGGGTTTAAGTTGAACAACTAATCTCTATTGCACTGAACAACCCAGATGGTTGAACTCTTTTAAACTGAAGGTAATTGCACAGGCATTGCTAGGGAAAGGCTATTTCCAATTACAAAATGGCTATTTGACCTTTGAGAATTACTAAATGTGGAAGGCTTTGGTGACGCATGACCCCGGGTCACCAAAATTGCTCTGCGTCCGAGGCTAGTCTTTAGCTAGTGACATCACTGATGGTGACTTACTCAGTATTCCGACAATTGAGGATACTCTTGATTCTTTAAACAGGAATACTATTGAATACAATATGAGATGAAGACATGAATTTCTCTAAATTACTTAATTCTGTAAAATAATTCATTATACGTTGCTTAAGACAAAGGCGCGCCTTTAGATTTTGTTATCTAAACTGCTATTCCCAGGGGAGATGACCTCGTGCTCCCCGAGTCAGGTCACTACCGTCTGACTCCAAACTTTCCAAACCCCATAGTCTATAAGAAACCATACTGAATAATTCCTACAACAAACCTAGTTTGTTACACAAAGTACAGCCACTACGTGAACATGAGGTGAAAGCACGTGAACATGAGGGTCTTGGTTCCTCATGTGGTGCCATGCGGTGGCACTTGGCTGGGAGAGAGACTGCTGACGTGACAAATTCTTGCCTGGTAACACCAAACAAATGTAAATCAGATCCAGGCCTTTTCTATAAATTCATTAAAAGTAAGCTGCAAGTAAAGGATAATATTCAGAGGTTGAAAATGAGCAGACGTGTGGAAACAGGCTAGTATAGTTCCAATCTACAAAAGTGGCAGCAGGGAAGACTCCCTCATTTATAGACCTGTATCATTGACAAGTGTAATAGTCAAAATATTGGAAAAAATAATTAAAACTAAATGGGTAGAACACCTGGAGAAAAACTATATAATATCAGACACAGTATGGTTTTCGATCTGGAAGATCCTGTGTAATGAATTTACTCAGTTTCTATGATCGAGCTACAGAGATTTTACAGGAAAGAGATGGTTGGGTTGATTGCATCTATATGGACCTAAAAAAGGCTTTCAACAGAGTTCCACATAAGAGGTTGTTCTGGAAACTGGAAAATATTGGAGGGGTGACATATACCTCAGAGGCAATGTATCGGATTGGAGGAATATCACAAGTGGAGTGCCACAGGGTTCAGTTCTTGCACCGGTAATGTTCATTGTCTACATAAGCGATCTACCAGATGGAATACAGAATTATATGAACATGTTTGCTGATGATGCTAAGATAATAGGGAAGATAAGAAACCCTAGATGATTGTCATGCCCTTCAAGAAGACCTGCACAAAATAAGTATTTGGAGCACCATTTGGCAAATGGAATTTAATGTAAATAAATGCCAAGTTATGGAATGAGGAATAGGAGAACATAGACCCTACACAACCTATAAATTATATGACAAATCTTTATAGAAGTCTGATAAAGAAAGAGATCCAGGGGTAGTTCTAGGTAGAAAACTATCACTTGAGGATCACATTAAGATCATTGTGCGAGGGGCCTATGCTACACTTTCTAACTTCAGAATTGCTTTTAAATACATGGATGGCAAAATATTAAAGAAATTGTTCACGACTTTTATTAAACCAAAGCTGGAATGTACAGCAGTTGTATGGTGCCCATATCTAAAGAAGTACATCAACAAACTGGAAAAGGTGCAAAGACATGCCACTAAGTGGCTCCCAGAACTGAAGGACAAGAGCTACGAGGAGAGACTAGAGGCAATAACCACTTAACACTTTGGTCCGGTAATGACGCAGCATTGCGAGATTTCCCGCTGCAAATTGGCGACGGTTTCGGGAAGGGTGCGCCGCAGTTTTGGACATTATATGCATACACACCTGTAGGGAATTTCATTGCGAATACAATGATACCAAAATGAAAGACCTAGGACTAGAATTGAGGTAACAAAGTTGAAAAGAGTATACCCATTTTATTGCTCTTTATTAGTGCTCACTGCGGTAACGCACCGTCACGTTCTCTGTTTGCTGTGGGTGGGACGCCAGGGTTTTGGACTTTATATTTGCATATACTCCTGTAGGGAATTCTATTGTGAACACAATGATACCAAAATGAAAGATCTAGGACGAGAATTGAGATGTCTAAAGTGAAGAGTGTGTACACATTTTATTGCTCTTGCACGCTCCCGGGTAACACACTCTCACATTCTCGTCGGGCTTTTGGGTTTTATATGCATTTAGTCCTGTAGAGAATTCTATTGCGAACACATTGATACCAAATTGTAAAACCTAGGACGAGAATTGAGATGACAAAGTTGAAGAGAGTATACACATTTCGGTATAATGAGAGGCGCCTTGGGGTGGTGCAGCGCTCTCTTTCTGGTAACTTTCATCTTGTCGGCGGGTGGGGCGTGCCGTTGTCTTTGACGTTATGTGCATATATTCCTGTTGGGAATTCTATTACAAACACATTGATACCAAAATGAAAGACCTAGAATGAGAATTGAGGTGACCAAAGTGAAAGGAGTGTACACATTTTATTGGTCTTGCGCGCTCCCGGGTAACACGCTCTCACTTTCTCTGTTTGTTGTGGATGGTACGCTGGGCATTTGGACTTTATATACCTTTAGTCCTGTAGAGAATTCTATTGCGAACACAATGATACCAAAATGAAAGACCTAGGACGAGAATTGAGGTGACCAAAGTGAAGGGAGTGTAAATATTTTATCGCTCTTGAGCCATGCTCCCGCGTAACATGCTCTCATTTTCTCTGTTTGTTGTGGATGGTACGCCGACCATTTGGACTTTATATGCCTTTAGTCCTATAGAGAATTCTATTGCGAACACATTGATACTAAAATGAAAGACCTAGGACGAGAATTGAGGTGACCAAAGTGAAAGGAGTGTACACATTTTATCAATCCTGCGCGCTCCCGGGTAACATGCTCTTACTTTCTCTGTTTGTTGCGGATAGTACGCTGGGTATTTGGACTTCATATGCCTTTAGTCCTGTAGAGAATTCTATTGCAAACACAATGATTCCAAATTGAAAAACCTAGGATGAGAATTGAGGTAACAAAGTTGAAAAGATTATACACTTTTCAGAATTACCGCGCGCTCCCGCGGAATGCCCAAACCCACCCAGGGTAGTGTGACGCATGTGCGCCCAGAACATCAAAGTGTTAACTGCGCCAACCGAGTATTCTCGGTAGGCGGGAAACTGCCATCTGAGAAAACTTTTTTTTTTTTCTTTTTTTGTACCCATTCTAAATGTGTGCGAAGTTGGTTGTGTACGAAATGGACTCTTAGGACCTCCAGTGAGAGGCAGCTATCTTGGAAAAAAATCCCAGAATGCCCTAGGACTACTGGCTGGGTGAGTACTGAGTGAGCAACCATTGGTGGCGTATGCTCCTC